CCCCTGCGAGAAGGGCGCGTCGCGTCAACGCAAGCAGAACGCGAGCTGCAAGGGGAGTCTGGCGAAAGGCCTCGCGTCGCAAAGTACGGTTCACTTTGTATTCTGAAAGGTCTTTCACAGGCAAGACGGAGCGCGCGAAGCGCGCGAAGCACGCTCAGGCACGAAACGGGGCTTCGACCACGTTGGCTAGCGCGGCTTTGCGACGATCCCGGCGACGCCCGTATGCCACATTGCACTTGGTGTCGCGAATGCCCCGCGCATGGTTGACGCGTTGAAAAGGCTTTCGCTCGGCATCAAGCCTGCGCCTCGCCGCCAGAAAATACCCCGACACACTCTGGTCCGCGTCCGGGTCGGTCGCGCAACTGGTCGGGCGCAAGCGCCGCTGCTTGAGAGAGAGGCCGTCAGCTTCGGGGGCCGTGCGGCGCGCCCATCGATGAATTGCGTTTGCGTTGGGTCGCAGCGGGCGGGCGTGCTCAGCCATTGGCTTGAGGGCGCGATTCTTGGAAGGCAAATGTTTCAATGGCTGAATGTCGTCAGCCCCGCATTTCTGGGCGATGAACATGCGCGCGAATACGCGCGACGCCACTCGCATCAAAACGGGGCAACGTTTGCGCAAATATCTAGGGCAGCCTTGGATGTAAGAAGCAATTGCGCGCTGGGTTGGCGGCCCGCCCCCCCCCCCCCCCCCCCCCCCCCCCTCATTTTCACTCGAGCCTGGTGGACATGCGCAGCGGGTCCCGCATGCCCCTCAGATAACAAAGACGCCTGCTCATATGCCGCAAGAAGACGAGGTCTATGGCAATGTTCGAGTTTTTCACGATGTTGCTTTTTGGTCCGCGACGTCGGATCTACTCGCGCGCCGAATATGGCTTGAGCCAAGATGGCAATGATATCAAAAGGAAGCCCCTTCCTTTTGATTCATTGATTCATTCCCCGCCTACGGGGGGAGGCGGTCATGGGGGATCCCGACGAGGTCTGGGGGGGCGTCCTGGGTCAGTGCAGCGCCTCACCCCTCCCCTTTCGAATCACAGTTGGCCCCCGATAGAGCCCCAAGCGGCACAAACTCATTGACGTTGTTTCGTTTTTTCCATGACATGTCGAAGACTCCCTTTCACTGGCCGCCGACAGCCCAAGTCGGTCCAGCTGGCCCTCAATATAGCCCCAGAGCGGCCCAAGAGGGTCCCAATTGGGCTCCCAAACGAACCGCGAATTCCTCAAGCCGGCCTGAGACCCCTTGGCCCAAGAGCCCTCCAGAGTGGAACACGAACTTGTAATTTCGAGCCATGCTCACAAGATAGCCTCCGAGACCGTCGGCAAGCTCCAAGAAACTCCACAGAACTCCCCTGGGGCTCCCAGACGCGCCCAAGGCCCCCTGCGGCCCCCCAAATCCGCCGACCCAATCGCCGTGTGAGAGGGGAAGTTCTGGACCAGCCGTGCCGGGGTGGTCTTGGGAGACGATCTTTCATTCAATGTGTCCTTTCCCTCCCAGGGCCAGTCTTTAGCGCCCCAAGCTCGTAAATTCGAAAAAAGTCGAGACAGGCCGTCATCCTGATCGAATCGAAGGGAAACCCCTATTCAACGCGAAGATCTCTATAATATGTGCATTTCAGTTCCTGGACCTTCCGTCTGTGAGTGTCTGACAAGGAGAATCTCCGGTGTCGGCTGAACGGACGAATCGCCTGGGACATCCGCACAATCTGGACGCGAACGGACTGGTGATGCACCCTTTGGCGGCTTTTCCTTGGGGGTTTCCAGATGCCATGCCTGCTACATCGTGGTGATCACAGAGCCTTCAGAAGACGAGTCCAAGGCGCAGACACAGGCGAACCATTGGCGCTATCCCCCCCGCTCTGGGAGCGAACGGGCCTGTGATACACCCCTAGCGGGCTCTCTTTGGGTTGGCCAATTGTCACTCTTGCTATGTAGCTACCCCCCCACCACACCATCTGAGCGCGCACGGTCAAGTGCCCCCGATTACGAAATCTTCTGTCTCAAAACGAACTTCAAAACCGCAAGCAGTGTTGCAAAAACCTCGCGATCAACATGGTGACAAGCCCCGCTGGAGAAGCAGCCGTCTGAGTCCCAACGGACGTCCCCATTTGGAAGCGAACACATGGACGATATTTTGTCTTGATCTCAGCTGCCACATATTGCTAAGGCCTTGCGGCCGGTGCCGCCGACCTTGAAGACGACGACGAGGAATACGAGGAGGAGGAGGAGGGGGATTAAGGTGGAAGGGAGCAGGTGAAGGCGAAGGAAATGTTCCCCATGTGGACCGAGGGAGTCGTAGCACAAACAGACAGGGAGCCTTGTGGCCTGCGGCCCTTCCCGCCGCCGTGCTGGAGTTGTGGGTGAAAGGCCTCTTGGATGTTTTCGGGCCTCGCGGGGCCTCTGTTGGGCCTCTTTGGGGTCTCTCGGGGGCCTCTTCGGGTCCCTTGACGGGCTCTTGGGGCCTTCCGGGGGCTTCTTGGGGCGGGAAGCTCGAAATGTCGGTTCGTGGCCCTCTTCTTGGGCCTGCTTGGGGCCCTCTTGGCGCGTCTTCACGCTTTTTGGGGCTCCAGGACGCCCAGGGGCGGATGCGTATCTGACCCCCCTCCCCCAGGACCCCCCTGGGACCCAACCCCCTGACGGGGGCTGGATCAAAGAGAAGGGGCTTCCACACGCCGACAGGGTCGGCGGATTTGCGATCATCCGTCTGAGTCCCAGCATCTACCGTCTGAGTCCCAAACCTGGTTCGATCCACCGCAGCAGCATTCGAAACAGTCTCTTCCAATATCTCGTCTGTCTGCGTCCCGCGATGTTTTTTGGCGTGAGGTAATCGAGCACGGCCCCTGCAGGGTCGACCATGAGTGCTGACGGCGCCGCAGGTATCCCTAGGCCAGGCGGTGGTGCGGCTGAACAAGCACTAGTGCTTGCAATGAGAGCTCTGATTTCTCCGCCACGCAGAAGCCTTTGCGGCAGAAGCCGAGATGCATCGCTCTTGAAAGACGCCTACGGCGTGAAAAACTCACTCTGGACATGTGCCAGGTGTAGAAAGATCAAACTACGCAGATAAAGTGCAGTGGAAGTCAGCTGTTTCAGATCTCCACGCGAGCGAAGACCATGCCTGATGATAATCGGATAGTGAAGGTGAAACCACCTGTGCATGAGGCGAGCACATGGAGAAATGGAAAAGGGATGCCGATACCAGTGTGGCGAACCTCTGAGCTGTGCGGAGGTTTCTCCGGCAGGAACAAGTTAACGGGTACGTGGTTTTTAGCCGGAGTTGTTCTTGAGCCAGAGACTTCGTAGCGCTCTCTCGGGCGCGATTCGTAGAGTTCCCAAACAAAGCGAAGCAATGGAAAATATAGCATTTCTGGAGCACTGGCAAGCTAATGATCGAAACACATTTCGACCGAACTTTTGGGGTGAAGTGCTTGATTGAACAACCGCTGCTCGACATTTTACCATTTGTTTAGGTTGGGGCATTTTCAGACAGACGAGGATACAGGACCTGTCCACCATCTTAACGCCAGGTCAATCGGAAGGCTGTAAAACGGGGGGAATTGTCAAGACGGGAGCGCGCTCTGGAGACACATGTTCTGCACGCGCGTGATCTTGCGATTTTATATCGAGATGCCGAGCAGCTGCACATAACTCTTCGGTGCAGATAGTCGAGGAGGGGACGAGGAGGAGGAGGAGGAGGAGGACCAGGGGGAAGATGAGGAGGAAGAGGAGACGGAGGATGAGACGGGAGGATGAGTAGGAGACGAGAACAGAGGGGGAGGAGGAGGAGGAGGAGGGAGGAGGAGGAGGAGGAGGAGGAGGAGGAGGAGAAGAGGAGGACCATGGGGAAGAGGAGAGGAGGAGGCGGAGGAGGAGGAGGAGGAGGAGGAGGGGGAGAACGACAAGTATGATCGCGGTCTGCTGCGCTCGGTCTTAGCCCGCGCGGTCGGGGCAGCGTCGGCCAGGCCAGGCTGCGGCGTCCGCGCCCAGAGCCTCCGTGTCCTCCTCCGCTGCCGAGTTCTCATTTCGAGCTCCTCATTCTCCCCCCTCCCTGCCTCCTCCCCTCCCTCCACCCCCCTTCCACTGCCCACCTCCTCCTCCCATTCCTCCCCCTCCTCTCTCCTCCTCCCCCTCCTCATCCCCCTCCCCCTCCCTCTCCCTATCGCTCCCGCTCCTTCTCCGACGTCACGAAAACTTGCAACATCGTCAAAAGATCCAGGTCAGAGCGCCAGACTTCATCTTTCTGTTGAATTTGTCCAGCCAGCTCGATCTGTGAGAAACGTGAGGGTCCAGAGGCCCGAAGTGATGCAACACCGTCCGCTTTGAAGCAACTGCGACGCCAGAGTCTAAGGGTCACTCCCCCCCTCCCCATCCCCCTCCTCCCCCCTTCTCCCCCCTTCTCCACCTTCTCCCCCTCCTCCCCCCCTCCTTCTGCTCCTGCTCCTGCTCCTGCTCCTGTTCCTGCTCCTCCTACTCCTCTTCCTCCTCCATCCCTGGGATCTGACGTGATCAAAATATTCGAACATCTGAAAAATTTCGACCAGAGCCCCGGACCCCATTTTCTTGCCGCATGTCGACCCAGATCGATCCGTCAGGGCTTGCGGGCGCGCAACGGGGCGAAACCGCTCGTTGCGAAAACATTGCGACGCCAGCATCGCAGGGTCACCGTCCTCCTCTTCTCATTCGGGTAGGTGTCTTCATCCTTTGAGCCCCTCGAAGGCGGTTCGTGGGGCCGAAGGCCAACGATTCACGAGATGATTCGTTTCTGGCTCATCTCGGGGCCCCCTTCTGGGCTTGCGTGGTCCTTATTCTGAACGCTCCTGAACCTTGGCATCGCTCGGACGTGTTTTTTTGTGGTTTTGTGAAGGCCATCGAGGAGCATTTTGCATCATCGTGCGACAAATGCGCGCAAGAAGCCGAAACATGCACGAGGAATGGACGTCCGAGCGATCGCAAGGAACGCTCCCGAACCTCCCGCGTCGTGCCGAGAGAGCCTCAGTCGTGCCCCACCGGACCCATCCGCCGCGACTTGTTGTGGGGCTTGCCGGGGAGCCGCGTGGCGGAGAACTTGCTGTTGGAGGCCTTCCGCGCGGCGACGACGACGACGACGACGACGACGACGACGACGACGACGACGACGGCGGCGACGACGACGGCGGCGACGACGACGACGACGACGGCGGCGACGACGATCACGACTACGAGGGAGACGACGACTACGAGGGAGACGACGACGACGACGACGACGACGACGACGACGACGACGACGACGACGACGACGACGACGACGACGACGACGACGACGACGACGACGACGACGACGACGACGACGACGACGACGACGACGGCGGCGGCGGCGGCGGCGGCGGCGACGACGACGACGACGACGACGACGACGACTACGAGGGAGACGACGACCACGAGATCCTGGCATCCGCACGATTTTGCCACAACTCGCGATTTTTCTTTTTTTCTGGGACCAGGGACTCTCACGGATGGATCCGACTAGAAGTGTCGCAGAACGATGGGGCCCAGGGGTCCAGCTGAGTTTTGACGACGCTGGATCTGTTCGTGACGTCGGATCTCGTGACGTCGGATCTCAGGGGACGACGACGAGGGAGACGACGATGAAGACGACGAGAAAGACAATGAGGATCAAGACGACGCAGACCACCCTGGACCTCCAGCGCATGGAAAGAGCGAACGGCGGATTCTCTGCGTATTTTCTGAAATTTGGGGCCCTCGCCATTGCCATGGGGAAACCAGCCCTGGTCGGCCACGCGCAGGAGTGGGGGGAAGTGGAAGGGGGGATGGCTTCTTAGAAGCACCCCTGCTTCTTAGAAGGCGCGGGCCTTGTCTGTAAATGTAAGGCTCACGCCTTCTAAGAAACAGCCTTCGTCTAAGAAGCCTCCCCCCCCCTACGCCCTTAAGCGCGCCGCCAATCTGGGGAAAGGGCCCGGATCCGGAACCACTCAGTGGACCTCGGGAGTCCTACGGCCCACAGGGCAGCTCCGACAGCCTCCTTGCCAGCGCCGACCCCCAGCGGCGAACGCCCGCATGGGGACGCGCGAGCGCGTCCTCATGCCGGGAGGAGGAGGAGACGAGGAGGAGGAGGAGGAGGAGGACAACAGAGGACGAGGTGGAGGTAGGAGGAGGAGGAGGAGGAGGAGGAGGAGGAGGAGGAGGAGGAGGAGGAAACGGGAGGATGAGTACACGGAGGAGGATAGGAGGAGGCGGAGGAGGAGGAGGAGGGGGAGACGGGAGAGATGAGAGGAGGAGGAGGAGGAGGAGCAGGAGGATAAGGAGGAGGAGGACCAGAGAGGATGAGGAGGAGGAGGAGGACGAGAGGAGGAGGGGAGGAGGAGGACGAGGAGGAGGAGGAGGGAGAGAACAGAGCTGGAGGAGGAGGAGGAGGAGACGGGAGGGAGGGAGGAGGAGGAGGAGGATGCGGAGGGGGAGAAGGAGAGGAGACGGGAGGATGAGTAGATGTGAAAATAGGAGTATGAGTAGGAGTAGTAGGAGGAGGGAGGAGGAGGAGGAGGAGGAGGAGAGAGGAGGAGGAGGAGACGAGGAGATGAGGAGAGGAGGGAGGAGGAGAGAAAGAGGAGGAGGAGGAGGAGCAGAAACAGCTACACATGGAAGACGAAAGCGTAGGAGGGCAGGAGGAGGAGGAGACGGAAGGATGACTAGGAGGAAGACGGGGAGGAGGAGGAGGAGGAGGAGAAGGAGGAGGAGGAGGAGGACCAGCTTAAATCCAAGTCTCATCAACGATGCTGGAATACACCCACTCGAGATTTCTCTTCATAGGTTCTACGAGGATTCATTACCATTGAGGGAAGTGCTCCGTTGGGGGGCAACCGTGTGAAAATCCTGAAGCGCGCGAACACACCATTCTCATGACTTCAACGCCACGAGTCAACCTGACTGACGACGGCGGCTGGGCTCGGCTGCCAACCGCGGCGAGGACGCCGGCGGCGGCGGCGACGACGACGACGACAGCCACGGCGGCGGCGGCTGCGGCGACGGCGACGGTGGCGATGAGGACGGCGGCGACGGGGACCGCGGTGGCGACGGCGACGAGGGCGACGAGGATGGGCCGGGTTCGGATGCCAAGACTGGGATAGATCGCTCCAAAGCGTTCTAGAATGCTCACGGAGCGTTCCAGAGCGCTCTGGAGCCTCCGCGGCGCCTGATACATCCTCCAGCACCGCCGTGTCTCAGAGATCCCCCATCGATGGTTCTGGTCCGATTTTGTCCTGGTCCTGGCTTGCTCTCAGAGCACGGAGATGACGACGACGACGACGTCTGTGGCGAAGGCGGCGAGGGTGGCGAGGGCGACAAGGACGGCGACGGCTATCCCCTTTCTTACTTCCTTACTTACTGAACGATGCTGAAAGGTATGAGTAAAGTCAGTGGAGTAATCCGTCGCTGGATCAGAGCAATATGATCCTGTCCTGTTGGCTACGCATGCTGGTGCGCACGAGCGATGCTGCTACACATACGTGGCGGAGGCACGCTGCAAGCGAGAGCGAAAGAATTGCGCCCCGTGATGAGGCTATCCCGTGTTGTGTCGCAGGACGACGAGGGCGAGGTCGAGGGCGACGGCGGCGGCGGCGAGGGCGTTCGGGAGGGCTCTGGAGCGGCCGCGGCGCCCAATGCATCCTCCTGCACCGCCAGATGCTAGCGATCCCCCATCACCTCCGGCCCGATCCTGTCCTGCACTGCTCCTGGCTGGGCCTCCGAGCGCGGAGAGGAGGACGACGACGACGCCGGCGGCGAGGGCGGACGAGGGCGGCGGCGGCGGCGCTGACGGCGCCGACGGGGGCGACGGCGACGACGGCGAGGACGTCGTTGGCGAGGACAGCGGCGACGGCGGCGGCGGCGGCCTGCTGATGGAGGCCGCACACCGCCACTTCCCCGGGCGCGCCGGCGCCGCGGGCGCCGCGTGCCCGTTCGGGAGCCAGCCCGGCCGCCGCGGGGCCGCCGCGGCCGGGCCCTGTGGGGGGAAGGGCCTCCCGGGGCCCTACCCCCAGCAGCAGCAGCAGCAGCAGCAGCAGCAGCAGCAGCAGCAGCAGCAGCAGCAGCAGCAGGAGGAGGAGGAGGAGGAGGAGGAGGAGGAGGAGGAGGAGGAGGAGGAGAGCAGGAGGAGGAGAGGAGGAGGAGGAGGAGGAGGAGGAGGAGGGGAGGGAGGAGGAGGAGGAGGAGGGGGAGGAGGAGGGAAGGGGGAGGAGGAGGAGGAGGGGGAGGAGGAGGGGGAGGAGGAGGATGGGGGAGGGAGGAGGAGGGTGGAGGAGGGGGGCGGTAGGAGGGAGGAAAAACAACGATAATCCAGTTGCGCTGCCGCGCGCGCGATGCTGCCACCGCGCTCGAGTGGTCCTGGGAGTGGGATTGGGAGTGGCATGGGGGGAGGGCGCGCGGACCCCCTTTCCGCAAGCCCTGTAGCTGGGACAACTTCCATTTGGAAGGCAAAACGCTCAGGGATTAGGTTTCACAAGTGAGCGCAAGTTTGGGTCGGTGTATCGGGGGGCACCATTCAATCTTGAGAAGCAATTGCAGACCTCCCCCCTTCCGCCTCTGGAAGTGACACCCCCAGCCCCTGAATTTCAAAATGTGGTTCTCTCCTCAGCGCCACGCACATTCGTCTTGAAAGTTTGCAGCAGTTTCACGGATGGAGGGCGTGTACTTTTCAGAATTTGGTTATCCTCTCAGCGCCACGCACATTCGGTTTCAGCTCCAAGGAGTTTCGGGATACGGGTACTAAATATCTGTTGTCGGTGCGGGAGCCGGGGGTCCGTCAGAGCCGCCGAGAAAAATCAGTGATATGGGTGGTGACGCAAGGAGAACCATGATGGTTCGTCCAGGCGGTGGGACAGGCAGGCCGGGAGAAGCCAATCTCGTCAAGCTTGTGGGGGGCCTTCAGAATCGGCTGGAATTTTGAGGACACCCCTGGGATCCACACAAATGCCCAGGAGTCCTAAGAAACTGTCCGGGAATTCGCAGGAATCCGGAATGAATCAGCCAGGGATCTTCAGGAATCCTTTTGGAGTCGGCACGGTTATTTCAATAGTACCCAGGAATCCTTCAATTGAGGAATCCCCAAGAATTTTCGGGAACCCTCTGGACGATGCAGAAACGTACAGGATCCCGAATTGGTAGCGGAGGATGATGTGGGGGGTACATATGCGGCCCGGAAGGTGCCCTGGTTGTCATGTAATTCGTGCCGCAGGCAGCGCGCCCCCCTCGCTGCGCAACTGCATGCGGCTACAACAACAGCGAGGGCTCATCGGGCCCAAGACGGACACACCCCAGACGGAGGAGAACAAACTCGGCACGTTCGCGCCATATCTGACATCCTACTTCTCCCGCCCTTCCCTTCCCCCATTGCGTTAATTTTCTCGATCCGCCGACGCGTGTCATAGCGAATCTGAAATTCCACAAAGGACCCGGCGTATTATGCGCAATCGGATGGGGAAGTGCGTACGGTGAAGGAGGAGGAGGAGGAGGATCTGGCGGATGAGCATGAGAGTGAGCAGGAAGAAAAAGAGGAGGACGAGGAAGGAGGAATCCGAGGACGAACAGCAGCAGCGAAGCTGGAGTAGAATCAGCAGGAGGGTCAGGAGAACCAGGGGAAGGCGGAGGAGGAGAAGGAAGCGGGGTCGACAATGATGAGGACAAGCTCGGAGCCAGGAAAAGAGGCCCCCCGCGCTGGGGCGAGACTGCCATTCTGAACAACGGAAACAACGCGCCGATAAAGCGCACGCTACAGCGGGAATACCACTTTGAAGGCCCGAAGCAATCGGATTGCAAACACACAAACGTTTGAAAACACGTGTGTGTGTGTGTGTGTTCAAAAAGGCAGTACGGGGAGAGGGCCGATCATCTTCCAGACAGGGTCAAGGAAGATGTGATCGTCGTAGGGGGAGTATGTAGGAAGGGAGGGCGAGGAGGACGAGGAGGAGGGCGAGGAGGAGAAAAGGAGGAGGAGGAGGAGGAGGAGGGAGGGCTTTGGCGTTCCCTGATATGATCTTTCCCTGGCGGGTCCGGCGGTCGCGCGGCGGCTCCAGCTCGAGACCTGCGTCGTGTGGCCGAGTGCGCAGGAGCAGCCGGCCGCTTGCCCCTCGCCGCCGCCGCTTCTCCTCTACGAGGCCGTCGGCGTCGTTTCGGCGTCACCTCAACATGCTTATACTACATGTGCGTCGCCCCCCCAGGGGCGACGCGCGCACCGAGGAATCTTATAGCATATGCGGCGTGGCGGGCGCTTTCTAGCCGCACAGGTCGGGAAACAATGAACTTCAAGATGGGTATACTAAGGTTCGGGTCGGACGCGCGCCTCGGAGGAGGACACACATGGTACTAGTGTGTCCTTGTGCGTCCCATCGTTTAGGGGCACCGACGGGGTCGGGCAGGCTCAGGAAGGGCATGGACCGACAACGTCAGGTGGGGAATGCGTCGACAACGTCGGGGAGGGGTGGACGGGCTCGCCGGTGAGAGATTCGAGGTTGTCTGGCAGTTTCGTCTGTTCGACGGACGCGGTTTTCCAGCCCATGGATGTTTTCCCAGCGGCTGCGCCTCGCCGAGAGCGTCCCAGGGGTGCCAGAATCGCCCCCGGACGGCCGCCAGCGAGCAGAGTCATGCAGGAGGAGGAGGAGGAGGAGGAGAAGGAGGATGAATAATAATATAAAAAGAATAATATTAGCCTGGCGAAGGACCCAACCATATGCAGCTGTGAGTACCGCAATAGTGAACATCTTCTTCGGCGTGGCGCCGCCATGCCAACGCAGCCACTGGGAGCTTCGGTGGAGCTCCCTATGGGGCCACGAAGCGTGTAAGGGGTGTGCCGAACTGGGAGCGGCGCCGCCATGCGAACGCAGCCACTGGGGCCTTCGGTGGAGCTCCCTATGGGGCCACGAAACGTGTGAGTGGTGTGCCGAAATGGGTGCGGCGCCGCCATGCCAACGCAGCCACTGGGGCCTTCGGTGGAGCTCCCTATGGGGCCACGAAACGTGTGAGGGGTGTGCCGAAATGGGTGCGGCGCCGCCATGCCAACGCAGCCATTGGGGCCTTCGGTGGAGCTCCCTATGGGGCCACGAAGCGTGTAGGTGTGCCAAATTGGGTGCGGCGCCGCCATGCGAACGCAGCCACTGGTGCCTTCGGTGGCGCTCCCTATGGGGCCACGAAGCGCGTGAGGGTGTGCCAAATTGGGTGCGGCGCCGCCATGCGAACGCAGCCAGTGGGGCCTTCGGTGGAGCTCCCTATGGGGCCACGAAACGTGTGAGGGGTGTGCCAAATTGGGTGCCGCATGCGACGCAGCCACTGGGGCCTTCGGTGGAGCTCCCTATGGGGCCACGAAACGTGTGAGGGGTGTGCCAGAATGGGTGGGTGGAACCGCATGCGGGCGCAGCCACTGGGGCCTTCGGTGGAGCTCCCTATGGGGCCACGAACGTGTGAGGGGTGTGCCAGAATGGGGGTGGAACCGCATGCGGGCGCAGCCACTGGGGCCTTCGGTGGAGCTCCCTATGGGGCCACGAAACGTGTGAGGGGTGTGCCAGAATGGGGGGTGGAACCGCATGCGGGCGCAGCCACTGGGGCCTTCGGTGGAGCTCCCTATGGGGCCACGAAACGTGTGAGGGGTGTGCCAGAATGGGGGGTGGAACCGCATGCGGGCGCAGCCACTGGGGCCTTCGGTGGAGCTCCCTATGGGGCCACGAAACGTGTGAGGGGTGTGCCAGAATGGGGGGTGGAACCGCATGCGGGCGCAGCCACTGGGGCCTTCGGTGGAGCTCCCTATGGGGCCACGAAACGTGTGAGGGGTGTGCCAGAATGGGGGGTGGAACCGCATGCGGGCGCAGCCACTGGGGCCTTCGGTGGAGCTCCCTATGGGGCCACGAAACGTGTGAGGGGTGTGCCGAAATGGGGGGTGGAACCGCATGCGAGCGCAGCCACTGGGGCCTTCGGTGGAGCTCCCTATGGGGCCACGAAGCGTGTGAGGGGTGTGCCCGAATGGGTGGTGGAACCGCATGCGGGCGCAGCCACTGGGGCCTTCGGTGGAGCTCCCTATGGGGCCACGAAACGTGTGAGGGGTGTGCCAGAAATGGGGGTGGAACCGCATGCGAACGCAGCCACTGGGGCCTTCGGTGGAGCTCCCTATGGGGCCACGAAACGTGTGAGGGGTGTGCCGAAATGGGGGTGGAACCGCATGCGAACGCAGCCACTGGGGCCTTCGGTGGAGCTCCCTATGGGGCCACGAAGCGTGTGAGGGGTGTGCCGAAATGGGGGTGGAACCGCATGCGAACGCAGCCACTGGGGCCTTCGGTGGAGCTCCCTATGGGGCCACGAAACGTGTGAGGGGTGTGCCGAAATGGGGGTGGAACCGCATGCGAACGCAGCCACTGGGGCCTTCGGTGGAGCTCCCTATGGGGCCACGAAACGTGTGAGGGGTGTGCCGAAATGGGGGTGGAACCGCATGCGAACGCAGCCACTGGGGCCTTCGGTGGAGCTCCCTATGGGGCCACGAAGCGTGTGAGGGGTGTGCCGAAATTGGGGGTGGACCGCATGCGAACGCAGCCACTGGGGCCTTCGGTGGAGCTCCCTATGGAGCCACGAAGCGTGTGAGGGGTGTGCCGAAATGGGGGGTGGAACCGCATGCGAGCGCAGCCACTGGGGCCTTCGGTGGAGCCCCCTATGGGGCCACGAAACGTGCGAGGGGTGTGCCAGAATGGGGGGTGGAACCGCATGCGAACGCAGCCACTGGGGCCTTCGGTGGAGCTCCCTATGGGGCCACGAAACGTGTGAGGGGTGTGCCAGACTGGGTGTGGGAGGGGGAGGAGGGGAAGGAGGGAGGGAGGAAGGAGGCGGGAACGCGGGGCACCGTCTCTCCAACACGAGGACCCAACACCACAGGATGGTTGGGAACTAAAAACCATAACATGAAGACTAATACTTATAATAAGCATACGGAGGATACTCATAATACTATTAATACCAATAATAATACTG